AATCCTTCCAATGAGCAGTCAGGGTTGGTTTCCTTTAGGATTGACTGGTTTGACCTCCTGGCAGTCCAGGGGACTCTTAAGAGTCTTCTCCAGGACCACAGTTCAAAGGAATCAGTTCTTCGCCGCTCAGCCTTCTTTATGGTCCAGCTCTCACAGCCATACATTACTACTGGAAAAACCATAGCTTTGACTTGGAGGCCTCTAACCACAGTTAAACCTAGTTGAGGTGTTTTTAGACTCAAGACTAAATGGTGTTATGGAAGAAAAGAGGCTCTTTCAAAGGCAATACCTCAAAAGTACAAGACTTTGGGAATGGCTTGTTCATTCATTCTGCCACATAGAGGCCTTGTCTTCTTCCCCAAAGTTCTCCTTTGGCAGCACTGGTGAAGAAACATTCTGCCTTTCAACCTGCAGCATCTCCATTAAACTTTCATTCATTCAAGATCCATCTCTTTCTTTCTCGTCCCCCCATCCCATCCCAACCCCCCTTTTTTTAGATCCTAAATGGAAAAGGACTCTGAATTGGACATGAACAGTCCTCCTCAGGCTGACAAGAGCCTCCCAGGAGGTTTTGCACCCAGAATCTCAGAAGCCATGGCTGAGCTCCTCGTGAACACTGTTGCTGGCACTGCCAAAATGGTCCAGGTGTCTGTGGAAGCCCAGAAATCTGCTCAGGTACTTCCTGTTGACTTTCCAGCCCAACTCTAAAGAAGGGAGGCCTTTGGAGTCCATGAAAGCGAGAGATTCTCTCACTCAAAATCAGAAAGTATTCAAATCTTTTTTTAGTCATTGTCCAGCATAAAGCAACTTTAGAACCATCATGGTTTACAACCATTCCAACATCACCCATCCAGCCTAGAAGCTGTGCAAAAGGACTCCAAGTCATTACTCATAACCCAAAGCTATCCAATCATTCTATCCCTGAACTCTCGTCATAAAAAGGTTAATTAATAGTGAAACGAGAAAAGAATACCGTGCAGCATAAGATACTGTGGTATAAATATCCATATGTGAAAAGTGGTATCAGTGAAAGTGAAAAGGTGAAAGAATCAACAATAATACAATTACACGGGAAGGGTCTTCCATAGGAAGAGGTTCACATGGTTCTCAAAGCCTATCTGTCTCCCCACTTCTTTTCAGCTGGCCTGTTTCCATGCAGAGCACGCGCTGACCCAAGCCCGCCTGAGCTACATGGCAGCACGGGGGCTGGCGGAGCGACTTTTGGGATTCTTGAGTCCCCCTGACTTCCAGGGACTCTTCCAGCTACTCTCACAGCCCCCCATGCCATATTCTGAATTTTGCACTATCATCCGACGGACAGAAAATGGTAAGGAGCTGCCCCCACTCATTGTCAAGGAACTCTTGGCACACCCAGTCCTTAATGCACCCCTCCTTCTTGCCACCCAGCCCTCCTACACCCTGTTCTCAAGTGCAAGCCAGGATTCCCAGTGCGACGGGAACCCAGCCCAGGCTCTGAATGCAGCTGCCGGTAAGTGACCTTGTGGGAGGAGCTGGGCAACAGGGAAGCTTGAAGGGACAAATCTCTGGCCTCCATTTCCAACCCACTTCAATCTGCTCCTTTTCCCAGACCAGACATTGCAGATGATGGCCTTCAGGGGGGGCTTTCTGATCTCCAGTTCTTTAGGCCCCTTTGTGTCAGTGAAATGGTGAGTAAAACACACCCACATGGACTTGAAAACCTTCTGCAAGGGCCCAGTTCTGTATCCGAAGAGTAGGATTTGGTTGCAGGTGGAACCAGTAGGATTTCTGTAGAAAGGGCCAGTTAGATCTGAGGTGGAGAGTGACACCCCATCTCCGTGGGTGAACCATCCACTTCTGAGGGCATTAGATGCATGTTCAGGAAAGGCATTGTACATTTTGTAACACAGTGTTTCTCAACCTTAGCAACTTGAAGATGGTGGACTTCAACTTTTGTCATAATATCATTGAAAAAATAATTGTCTAGATAAGATCTCTTGAATGGGCTGCCTATTCTAACAGGGAGATGTCATCCTGAATAAAGTGCAGGACTCTATGGTTGGGATCTTTTCAGAAATAGATCAACTGAACCCTAATAAAAGTTGATTCAGGAGAGGCTCAGATCTAAGGAAACAGAGTAGGACCAAAAGGTCGTATCTGTGCTCCTCATCCCAACGTTTCCTTTTTTTCTTATCACAGGATGAGGATGGGACAGATGAAGAGGAGAATCAGTCAATGCTGATACGAGGCCGAAACCCCTCCTGCCGCAAGCAAGTAGGACTCCATTTTCATTTAATTTCTTAAATTACAAAATGCTAAAACAATAGCCTGAAGGTTTCTTTTCCCTGCATTTGGGAGGCTGTCTGTGGAACAAAGAAACTTATGCATCATAAAGCCTAAAGATTTCTTACAACACAAGCTTGTGAAAACTAGAATCTGCTTTCCCAAATACTGTATATTAAATGTATCTCTAGTAGCAGGGTCATACTTCTTGTATTTCATTGCTTTTTGATCACATTATTAACAGGAGTCTCTGTTTACTGTTTCTCTATAACCTGAATATATCTTTCGGTCCTCTTTGTAATTAACTTTTACATTACCTGTAAAAACAACCCCACTACAAATCAGATACTGTGTACAGTGCTGCCAAAATCTTAGCTGTTTTTCCTACATCATTAACACATCTTCATTTTAAAACTGGCTACTACTAGTAGATTTATGGGAAGGCTGGCTTGAGAACTATACTTATATTTTTCAACAGACAGAGACAGTACTCCTAGAAGATCAGAGGGGAGGCACATACGTGACTCAGTGTCGGCATTCATCCCGGAGGTCCCCCTCCGCTGGTGTGGAAAGGCTTTCTCCACTAGTATCTGAGCAAGACCTCAACAGCATCCAGGTATCCCCCATCAGGCCCAATGCATTATAGGAGGCTGGGTGGGAGAAGAGAAAAAATGGCAAGCGCAGCGGAAGCAGGATTGCCCACAGTTAATAGGCATAACTTGATCGGTACTGCTTTTCCTGATGGGAGGGCAATGATGTCCTCATCGATTTCTGCCCCTGTGAACAGACCATGAGAACAAGTGAGGAAGGAGGGAAAGGTGGGAACAAAAACAAAAAAAGAAAAGAATGAAGGAGGAAAGAATAACCAAGCTGGATCAGATTAAAGGCTTATCTCAAGTTTACCCAACCCAGTGCTCCAAAGATATTGCAGAATAAGACTGTGAAGAGTTATAATCCAACACATTCAAAGAGGAAGGATGGGCTAACTCAGCATCTATTCCCGCAATAGCCAGGTGGATGCTTTTAGGAAGCCAATAAACCGGACTTGAGGTTCACAATATTCTCCTATTCATGGTCCCCAAGATCCAGTACTGAGAAGCATTTTGCTGTGATGCTGCAATCTCTTAGGCAAAGCCCATGCATAGTGACATTTTGAAAACCCAGGCAGAAAAAGATCCAGCGCTACTGGATCCAGCTTTTGTAATAAACAGCAGCAGCACGATAAAGACATCTTTTAGACATTAACCAATCCAAGCCATTCTTCTTGATTACTACAGACCTGAAAGCTCAACTACAACGAGTTGCATTTCTTGCTGTAGATGTTCTTAGGTGCTGAAGTCTTCTCCCAGAGAGTACTGGAGTGAGATGTTAAGGATTTAGCTATTGCTACATGTCTTTATTTGTGATTATTGCTTATATATTGTGCCCTTATTCCATGAAGCTTGGGGCACTGAGTATAGGGCAGACAGGCCAGACTTATGGGCCCATAACTTAATTCCCAACAGGAAATCTCGATTCAGAACTCCAGAATTCCCATACTCCTTTTATATAACCACATTGGCACTGTATTTCATCATTATAGAGAAGCTGTCAAAGATTTAGCATGGCATCTTTCCTTAATTTCTCCTTCTAGCCTACTAATGAGGGATACAGAAGTCCTGTCCCATCCTCCTCCTTACAAAGAATGTGTTAGTTTGGGCTCTGCAGTACTTTGGATTCCCTCTCCAAGGAGCTTCAGAGCACCTAGAGAGGACCTGAGCATGGCCGGCTGGGGAATTCTGGGAGTTGAAGTCCAGACATCTTAAAGTGGCCAAGTTTGAAAAACCCTGATTTAAAGCAATCAAGACATGTCAAAGGGCAATGGACCTTTCTTTCACCAAGTCCCAGTGTCTCTGGGAGAGGTGGCAACCCTAACACCCTATTTCTGTCCAGTCTGATCCACCCTAGATCTCCTGGTTTTCCCCACGTTGCTTGTTATCAGGGCAATAAGATTGTCTGCCAAGAAGGAAATAAAGGGGGAGGGGGCACTTGAGACTGTATACTGCTTCTCACTTCCTCCCCTCCCTACCCTGCAGCCCCTGATCTGTTGCCCCTCCCGCCAGGGTGGGTCGGGCAAGTTCCTGAGCAAAGTGACCCGGCGCAACGATACGTCCCAGCAGGAGAATTCGGAGAGCGACACCAGCGAGCAGTCAGAGACCACAGCTAAGGATACTGGATAAGCCTGGCTGAGCCCTGCTATATGTCTAGGAACAATCCAACACAGTCAGCTTGAACCCCACTTCCTTCCTTCCCCCAAGACCTGAAAGGGAAGGCAAGGAAACAACTTTTTGTTATTAGTTGTCCAGCATTATTACTGCACGGGCTGGGCTGGACAGAACTGCGATAAGGCATGGGTGTTACCTGCCTAAGAGCCATTCTTGGTAAACTTTGACCCAATCTAAGAAGGGAGTAGAAGAACCCCTCAAGGTTGCCACCTCTTCCCCTGCCAAACAAGTAAATAAATATAAATGAAACAAACCAAACCAAATTCTAGCCTTTGCTCTTTTACATGTAGCCAGAATATTTATTTGTAACTGTTTCAGTGATCAGGAGGAGTGTGGGAGCGTGAACGTTTATACCTTTTAATAAAAATTGTTAGTCTGAAAAGGTGCTACCAAACTCTGTTTGATTTTTGGATAGCATAGACCC